GGCGCCTTTTATGACCAGCAATGGGGTGCTGTGGACACATTCTGCCCCGGTTCTACACGGGGGAAGAGCTATTAGCGTTAGCCAGCACTCACCACGAGGAGGTTGCCAATAACAGAATAAACATAAATTTTATAAAGTATGGTTTCAAAAGCATTTTGCAGGCTTCATTTATGTGTTGCTCATTTTAGTCGTATCATGTTATAATTTTCTGTTATATAGACTACATATTAGAGATATAATCAGCTATACATATGAATATAATTCTGCACAACCTCTCTACGTATATTTTATTTTGTTAATGAATTCGGCCATATGATATTGCTGGTATCTGAATAGTCACATAAATTCGAAATGTGAGTTGAACATGGTTTCCACTTTCCAGTAAGCGTTAATAACCTTTTCATTAATTATATATCTGAAACCCACTTAATATGATAGCTCATGACAATGGACGCCCTGCATTATACAAGGACGACATATGCAGTATAAAGGCAATAAAAGGTATCACACTATATTGGGAATTGCTAGTCATGGACACCGAGTATGCTGGCAGCGCAAGACACGTGAGATAGCACACTTACGAGTGAGAATGGGCTGTTTTTCTTCACATTCAATTTGGGTGCTCATTTGAATTATATAACATAGCTGAATATCATTCTGGGTTTTGTGTTATGAAATACAGGCATAACAGCGTTCCTTTAATACCTATAGATTCCTATATTTTTAACTTTCCCAATATTTTCTATATTGACATTTTATCCCTATACTTGACATATTTTTATGGCACAACTGACTACCTAGGTGCTTTAGATTTTTTTGATTTTTTTTTGTAGGAGCAAAACAAAAAGGTAGTGAAACGTTCCTGTCATTTCTCTGCGCTGAGGTTTGGTATCCAGCCATGTCACCCACATCTAGTCAATAACCCCCACGGCCATTCAGACATTCAGTTTGAAGCAAGATTAGGACTGATTAGGAATTGAATGGACTGATATTGCTCATAAGGATGCTTCCCGTGCATAGAAATGTCAGGAAAGATAGTGAATGTCCATTGACAATTAAACACCTGTATCTGGTAAGCACAAATTTCCATTATACAGCTGTATCTTTAGTTGTAAGTCAAGGAAAATTCCTTAACACCCCTATTTGTTTCAAACGTTCCCCTATATTTCCCCAATATTTGCCCAGTTTTAGCAAAGGTGGCTTTGATGCATGTGAAATAGAAACCGACAAAATGTCACTGTTAAAGATAAGGATGTGTCCAAATGCGCATGGGCTCTTCCAACTTTCATCGAAACTACTCGGTAAATACTCTTCATGTTGAATATTAACATTTCGCATTGACAAAGTAAAAAAACCCAGGTTGAACCTGCCCTTTAAAACCTTATTACTAGATTAGTTATTTCTTATCTTTTGCACCGAATGGAATCGGTTTCGGTGGATGCCCTGACTCTTGTATGACATTGACGTTTTATATTTATTCGAATCCAACTTACGCACTAAGTATGATCTTTGGTTTGTTGTCCCCAAGGTCATATTGTGGATACTAAGCTATCTGTATCTGTTTCTGCACAACCTCCTTCATAACATTTGATTTTGTCAAATAAATCCGTTATGGTGATTTCAGGCAATCTGAATGGTCACATGAATTCGAAATTTGACCTGAAAGTTGATACTTGGCGTGGTCATCGTTATATGAACGGTTGTGTTAATATATTTTTAATTATAAACCTGAAAGCCACTTAATATCGTTGTAATTCATGATCAGTCACACCCTGCATTATATTAGGACGACATATTCAGTGAAATTACAATATAAGGTATCGCACTGTACCTATTATTACTAGTTGTGCGTACATATACGTTGTGTATGCCTCGAGACACTGTGTAATCTGGCAGCGCAAAACAGGTGAGACAGCTATGTTAGCATGAGGTTAGGCCTCCTCTGTGAATGGATTGTTACCCTGTACATTCAAATTGGGTCCACATTGCCTTTGTTGTTAATAGAATGAACGTGTAATGAAATTGAATCCTACAGTAAGTCAGTCACCATTGATAATAGGGTTATACGTTTTTGTACCTATAATAACTGAGCGAGAGCGAGAACTATATTCAATGAAGTCAGTTTAGAGAGCATTAATGCGGCAATGCACATTCAGGGTATCACCACTTTTAGTCAGAGGTTCCTGAGATATAAGATTTTATGTTCTCATAACATAGTCGCTTAAGGTCAGTGGAGATTATGGTGATGCCTAAATAAATGACGTATTTGTAAAAGCAAAATCAGTTTAATCTATGTTGCATTTGTCCATTATGTGATTATCAATGTTTCAATTTTAAGAAGAACACATGGTCGACCTTAAGGTTTCCGAGAAATATGTAAGTTTCCGAAAAGATTCTTTATTCATTTCGGTTGTGTATTTTGAAAGTAAAATTCCATTTTATAAACAGCGAACAAAGTCGTGTAACGATAAAGTGTCAGGTTCATATACACTCATCTGGTTTAGAGAAGGAGTCACGACAGATCGGTGACAGACCAACAAACGCTGTACACTCACTTGAACTTTGAGGCTGAACTGAACTTTTTTGGCCACTATCCGAGGGATAAGAAGTTTTTATGAGGAACATACCTGTACATCATTAAAAAAACATGGATGACACCAAACAGGTTTTGGGATGGTGTTCTTTACTTTATTTTTATCATTCTTGTTCGATCTATAAGATAAGCTGAAAGTATTAGCGAGAACAAAATCCATAATAAAAAGAAATCTATTCTGAAAGTTGTCAGAGTCGTATGTCGCTCTTTGAAATCTCGGTAGAAAGGGAATGCTCGAATGTACCTCAAAAGTTGTGAAATGTAAACATCAAATGACGGAGCTGCATTAATAGCTCGACATAAAGGGAAAGTTGACTAGTGGTGAGGTGAGGTCATCTCTCTTGTCATACAGTCTTGTGGAAAGTGTGAACCTGTTTATTTAGGCATAGATCTAAATATGAAACAGGCAGTCTCAACGGTCTCCTTTATTACTTGTTCAGGTGGGTAAATCAGAGGAAGGGTATTTGAAATTGGATGGTTATTTGAACGATATCAGATCATCGAAGCTTAAGTTAAACTTCTTTTGACTTTGCCAATCCGAGCAGAAATTCCGATTCATTGGCATAAAGAAAACAATGAGCAAGAAGGGGAGCACATTTGGTGCCCATGGGAATGCCTCCTTCTTTCCAAAATGTCTTACCCCCAACGTTTACCTGTTGTCAATGAAGTCCAGCATTGCACATACTGTTTTTTATCAGTAAACGGCAGATGGCATTTACTTTCATTTTAGGTAAATTGACCTCTGAAGATAAATATGTGACTGTATCTACGGTCACCACAGTTTGTAAAAAAAGCCCACATGGCCCAAGGGGTGCAAGCTCCGACGTTCATACAGTTTGGCCCTCACTCTATGAAGGTTCATACTCCAATGAACTCACACAAAGTGAAGGTCAATTCTTAAGTAAATATAAAGATTTGACTATTACTATGTATGACTCCGAAGACGTAATCTGCTACCAATATGATGGTCATAACCACAAGTGACTTCCCTACTTATTCCGTGCGTGATATTGTAATTGGCTGAATGCACAACTGAAGAGAGGAACCAGAATGGAAATAAACCTATTCTGTCCCATCTTTCAGTCATCCAAGTCTGTCTGAACTTCCATGATGTGTGTGTCGTAGTTCCCACTGATAAACTCTAAAAGTAAAATACAATTAATTGAGTGTTTGATTGGAGAAAATGGTATGAGTTACATATTAAGTGATGCAACAGATAAGGTCAGTATGTTAACTGAGATACTTTTGGCATGACACATGAAGACATGTCCATTTCCTTTTTTACTGGTTTTCAAAGCTCCATTAAAATCCGTACTCAGAACGACATATTGCAGGTTCTGCATACGTAGCCACAAATCCCTGATCCTTGTCTCAAAGATTAACCATAATCAATAATATATTTAACACTTACTATATATCCACAGACTGTATTTGAGACAAGTGGAATTCTCACAATGTCGATTCTAACAAATTCGAAGGATTTGCTTGAATTTGTGCAATCTCAGAAAATAACCAATTCAAGTTGAATTGTGTCAAAATATTTGATTTTACACCTTTGTATACATGTACCACAACCCCACACTACAAACTTGGGGGAAAACTTCATTCCTTGATCGATGGGACATTTGTTCCTAATCGTGGTTGCCATAGCTATATTTACATCTCTATCTTCAGGTCTAGGCAATTTGTCAAAAATGAAAGTAAATAAAATTAACTGATCAAACAACATGTGAAATGCTGGACCTCCTCATTGAAAACATCCATGGTGACAGTTGGGGATAAAACATGTACACAAGAAGTAGTTATTGGCATTCCCATGGGCACCAATTATGTTCCTCTTCTTGTTGATCGGCTTTTTATGCAGATTTACCCACCAGCATTAGTAATATAGGAGACCAGTGAAACCACCTCATCTATTTCATATTTAGATATATGCATACAAATTTAGATGTGACAAAACACATCTCCACAAGACTGTATGATAAGGATGGCGTCAACATTCGGATAGTCAACTTTCCCTGAATGTCGAGCAATGTTCCAGCAGCTCCAACCTTTGGTGGTCCAGCTCTTTTGAGATACATTCAAACATGCTCTTTCTTCAAAATACATTCAAAGAGTGGCATACAACCGTTGTTGATCCGGGTTTCATGTTTTATAGCAGACATGTCGACATTTGTTGCATCAGTGACCAACATTAAGTCTGATGCAATTCCCTGTTTTGTAAAACATGTTCCTAGCTTTTCGCAAGTGAACAAATGACTAACCGTTTTGCGTGTTTCGAAGGTATGCCACCGGTTGGGTTGTATCCACACCTTTTCTCGATCAGCTGGTGTCATCATTATTTCATGATGATTCCCAAACAAATGCTGATCATAGAGTCTGAATCATACAATGGACTTTGCTTTTAGCAGATATTTCTGATGATTATGGAGAATGTTTTGTGGCTTTTGTTTACATAGTCAAGACATATGGGTTTCCTCTTTCTATGCTCATGTGTTTGATGTTTGATATAAATAGTTCACTAGGAAATGTACGGATAAGCCCTACCAACATGACAGTCTCAACTTAGATTAGTTGCCTATATGAATTATGTTTTGCTTCAGAGGTAAACTCTAAGGTCAAACTTCTCACCTACATCTGTTACACCTGGAGCCATATTCCTCAAGACTACACACGCTAAGATGGAGCTGGGCTGGTGTACAAAGACCTTCAGGTGCCTCTTCATCTTCTTCAATGTCATATTTGCTGTAAGTTGCTTTTCCTCCTCACCTAAATATAAACTTTTCTGAAACCCTCCTATTTGATACAATTAAAGTCTGTTCAACTAGTTACTCAAGCAAAATTTACAATGTGTTTTTCTTTGTAACCTTGTCAAATAACTACAGCAGGAAACAGCAAACGTTATTATTCAACAGAACCGTTATCATACCTTACTGAATTATATGATGATTACTTTATATATTAATTTCATACTCGTCACGACATGGCTGAAATATTGCCGATGTGACGTAAAGCATTAACTCACTCACTCATTAATTTCATGACGCATTCTAGGCTAAAAGATGGCACTCGCATTAGTTTTGTGACGCATTTCATGCAGACATTCATGTGAACATTAATTTCAGCTCCCCTCCTTGCTGATCCAATTTCGCCAAAAACGTTTCACTTAAGCTTCAGGTACATAAATGATCTGATGTTAATCGGTAATGGTCAAATAGCCTGTGACCTTCCACTGATTTATTCACCTGAGGTCGCCATAAAAGAGACGAGAGAAACAGCCTCGTTTGCTTCATATTTAAATATATGCATACAGATTCAGAGTGACAATAATCTATCCATAAAACTTCAATGTTCCCTTCATGTTGAGCAATATCCTCTAAACTCAAGCCTTTGTTCTCTTCATTTCACAACGTTTGAGGTACAATTCAGATTTATATATTTACAGTGTATGCCTATCAGCAGAGATTTCATATGATTTTGTTTATGTTTGTAATGTATGCAAATATAATCTTTACGTTTGGTTACCATACCGGACAGGGCAGGTAATACGTCTTCACATATAAACTTAATGCTTTTAAAGTCAGCACTATGAGTGAGTGAGTGAGGACACCGTAATACACCAGTATTACTACCTTTACTCGTGAACTTTGTGCTCATAATACAATACAGGCCCGGAGAATCCAGCAAGCTTTGAGTTTGTGACTACGAAGAGCCGAATTCGATTCCCCAAAGCTGTACAATGTGTTGAGTGTGTATTCTGGTATGGTTTTGTGCACTAGTGCTGAAATATCCTCTTACAAGAAGCACATTTGCAACTGAAATGTGATTTATGCATATTTTCTGAATATATTAACCGGGAACGTCTTCTATGTCACAATGATAATGTATTGAGATCTTGAATCTTTACAGATTGTCGGAATAGCCACAATAGGACTTGGCATTTTTCTCAAAGTGAACCCCTTTATTACTTACATCACTCAAATTAAGCTGGATGGAAGTAGTACATTTCTCGCCAACAGCGCCTTGATCATCATTGGCATTGGGGCCCTTGTGGTCTTTGTTGGCTTCTGTGGCTGTGTCGGAGCTGCTGCCAGGAACAAGTATTTGCTAGGAATGGTATGAACAAACAACATTTTACTAACATTTTTCATAACATTTTACTTGTTGCTGTATATAATTATAGAAAAGCGTGGATAATTGTTCACCACTTTACCCAATGACACAATAGCATCCAAGCAACGATACTAGATCACAGAAATATCAGTTACTACAATAGCATCATAGCAAGGACTACAGTTCATGAGGATATGTACTGGCACAATTGCATTTAAACAAAGATAATGGTTTACAGCATTATACATTGACACATTAGTGAACACATTAGCAAGGACTACAGTTCATTATGGTATTTTCTGGCTCAGTTGCATATAAGCAAAGGTAATGCTTTACAGCATTATACATTGACACAAGACTGAAGAGTAGAAACAACCCCTTAGTCACCCCTAATCCTTTCCAATATATTGTATATGATTACTTACCATGACATGTTCGTTCACACAGGCCCCTGATCACATCTGTCCAATTGAATCCCTTATGGTGTAATAATACTTAGGTATGAGTGAATGTTATTTTACAATACCGAAACAATATTTAAGCAACAGTTTAAAAACGCTATATGTAACAGACAAACCAGTGTGTGTAATAGCACAAGTAACAGTCCATGCCCCAAGGGTACGTTGAAACTGCGTACCTGACACTGTTTTTTAGCTCTTATGTAATGTTCATGTCGTATAATAGTGTGCTCTTAATTATTCAGTACATCGCCTTGTCCCTGACCATCCCCATCGTAATACTGGTGTTCATCATATCGGCAGCCAAGTACTTTGATCTGGTAGGTCTAACCCACAATGTGTAGGACATATCCTTTCATCATTTTAACACGGTTACCCCGCAAAACAATATAAAGAATGGCATAGTTCTTTTTTTACGGCAAGAATTATAATCTTAGATGCATTTGAAACATTGATCATAGACTTTTGGACTGCCCAGGAGTCGCATCTCACATCACCAATCAAGGGTTGCAGCTCACGGGACCATCCCACACACCCATCAACACTTAGAACACTTTAACAGATTTCTCACTTTCAATATTGTTATACTTGTCTGTTCTCCACCTAGTGTGCAATTGTTTCTGACGTTTGTCTTCTCTTGACTCATGTAATTTTAACCTTTTGCTCAAAGTTTCATATATGCTGTCTTAGTGGGGATGATAGTTCCAGGATTTATTCGGGCATCAACAAAGTCATAGTATCAGAGACATGTAACGTCATTTTCGAGCGCCTTCAGGAAATACGCCCCAAAGGTGTTATCTTCAGAAGGGGGAGGATGGTGCTGAGGCTAGTCGTGAACGACTAAATCACAGACATTTCTTTATATTTTAGAACCCGTTCATACATATGTTTAATGTTTTCAGGGAAAGGATATAGACCATTTCAGTAGCACCCTTAAAAACCGATTGCAGAACAAGAACAGCGAGAATGCTACCGAGTTCACCAAACCTTGGGACTATGTTCAAAAACAGGTAACAGGAAACAGCTTTATGGGCAGAATGTACCTTTAATCAGGAAAACGATACTCAAACCAATGTGTCCAATGCTACTTTACTTGAATTGAAACGCACCATCGGCAATATTTCAGAAAATTTATGGTTGTCACGCCAATGAATGATGTGGTTTGTCTGTGCAGGAACTGTACATGTAGCTCACTCGAGCAGAACAACGTTATTATCTAAGAAAATAAAGTAATTTCACGGATCTTTTTTATGTTTATTTTAAGATTTGTTAAGACCGTATACAAGATGTTTATATTTGCTTTTCTTTGACATGAATCCCGTCATGTGTTAACTGTAGATTACTGACTAGTGTTTTATGCACGGGGCAACATGTACATACATACATGGCCATGATATTGTCGAAATCGTAAAACTATGATTATTGCAAAGGTTTTGCCTCTTTTATTTACATAACTATTCATTATCCAACCTCACTTAATAAAGCAGAAAATGTCATTGTTTTGATAGCATGTCCTCCATTATAAAAAATGTATGTGCATTTCATATGCATATACAAGTAACAGACTTAAAAAGCCCTCACTCTACCTTTCAGTCTAGGGGTCCAATCTAACACCGAATCCTTATCTTTACAGTTACATTGCTGTGGCGTTTTCGATTACAGAGATTATGATGCGGTGTTTACTGGCAATGATAAGGTGTGTACCGTGATTTCATTGTTTCAAAGAAGGTATTGTAAACAATAATTAGTAATGAGTTATAGTTCGATATACAACTCATGCCTCCATTTTGGCTATAAAGTCGTGTCCATGGTGGTATTTGTAAACGTACCATGTTGGTTCATTAAGGCGTGGATTGTCACTTGCAACGAGTGACGTCATCATATGCAACATAACATTCATATTATGATTGTTATAGGTGTCACTGAAAATTACAAGATTGAAATTTGACAAGTGGTCATCACAATGTATATTAACGACCTTAGCCAAATAGAAAATGACCTGATGTTTAATTTACCAAAGGTAAACAGCGATTGAAGACAGTAGAATACTTTTTGCAGATACGTGTGGTCCTGATACTGTGGACGGTGATAATGGCCGCAATTCTGTCAAAAAGTACAAGTGAAATAGAGTTCAACAATAGTCAAATGTTTCCAATAAAGTATTACTTGAAAATAATTATTTTCTTACTGATAATGAGACTCAAAGAACAAAATTGACATCATTGAACAACCCTAACAGGACATATTTAATATAGGTAGCAAAAAATAAAAACATGCAAGATCAATGTGTACCGAAGGACGTCAGTGCACACATAGGGGCACCAACCGCTTAATGTTAAAATGGCAACATTCCCAATAAAGAATGTCAGATGAAGCCGCAAGTTGTAAAACATTCAGAGCTATATGGGCTTATTCTGCTGTGTATATGATACCTGCATGCCATGGGCATCGCTACACCCATGTTCGCAACGTATTTATGTATTATGTCATTCCCCGTGCACAAACTTTGTGACGTCATATAGATGATTATTAGCGCGCCCACAGTAAACTCCGCCAGGGAAGTGAGACGTGTTGTAAATGCACCTTTTTATAATAAAGGCATTGAAAAATAATGAACAATAACAGCGGACTAAATATCATTAAAGCTAGGAAAAATGTAATTTTCGATTAACATGTCAAATTACTATCAAAGATGTATTATCACCTGACTAATGACGCACTAATAATCGCAAAACATGACAATTGATGTATTCTCAAACCAAACAGCCGTCCATACGGTCAAAATATTTGTAAATCATGTTTCAGGGGAAATTGCCAATTAGTTGTTGTGTGTCATCAGCTGATACTGATCTTCACGCAAGTTGGACCAGCAGCAGCAACTTCTGCCCGAATCAGCTGATGTATTCTAAAGTAAGAGAGAAAGAGAGAGAGAGAGAGAGAGAGAGAGAGAGAGAGAGAGAGAGAGAGAGAGAGAGAGAGAGAGAGAGAGAGAGAGAGAGAGATTCTTTTCTAAAATTTCCGAGGATCATAACGCTAGCGTATCTTAAACTATATGGTTCATAAATATTTTATGCAAGATGTGGTGAATGGGTTATCCGTACATCTCGTCCTAATGTTCTGGATATCTTAGTCTCATCTAAATAACCAAAACCTATATAAGCATACACACATACCCTTCTCAAATAAATACTTCTCGGAATTTATCGGACCATGGAAAAGTCATTATGGTATGTAAATTTAGTTTTGTTTTTACTGAACTATTTTTCCAACATGCATACTACATGCATGTGAACATCAGGTACGGCCATGTTTATGTTGATTTTGATACGCATGTGTCTGTGTATCTTACAGGGATGTTCCTCACAACTACGTGATTATCTACTCCTCTTTGCGAAGACAGGCTTTGTTGCTGACCCCGTTATCGTTGTGTTGGCAGTAAGTATCTTGTTGCGAGTTAAACAGACATTGATTAGGCAGATTATCTTTGAATAATTACATACGGAACACATGAGTGAAATATGACCGAAAATACAAAATAGTTGTCCATATCAATTACAATACCAATATATTTTTTTATAGCCGGTTGTCCGCCACACTATCAAACAGTGAGTGTTTCTTTGTGCCCATATCCGGTAATATCACCGATATGGTACTGACAAACGTGGAAACATAATCAAAACGAACCGGGGTTCGAACCAACGATCATTGCGTGCCCAAGAGAGGCAACTTGGCACAGTTATATAGAAACATGTACACAATGGTACAGTTGTATCCACCCATCAATATGTGCCTTCATCAAAGCGAATGATACACAGATAATGCTGACTATCCCTTAAGAGGAGACGCCGTAATTGTGTTTCTCATGCTGGACACATTTTAGAAACTCTGAAGGAAATTTTATGATAACGATATAAAGTTAAAGATAATTTTACTTCTTTATTTCCCAGATCATCGGAATCATCATTGCCGCATGTTTGTGCAGAAGAAATGCTGAAAAGGAACAGTATTCTACATTATAATATGTGATATGCTACCGATCAGTGTCGAATAAACAAGTGCACATTTGAAATCTCTATCCACTATTACTATGCCGCCTTATGAAGTTATATTGGTAATTAAGTTACAGTGATACATAGAACTGTAATACTGAATCGAACTGTCCACATTAAACTAATAAAGCATACTTTAGAAAGCAACTTGGATTCACTTGAATCTTATTCAGAGATGAGGTAAAATATGATTTAATGACGAGTTCAATGTTACTTCACTTACATTTCGGCTAGAAAATGAAGACATATTTTAAATTAATGAAATATTCATCAATTATATTTTGTGTACTTGGTCATTATTCCTAATTAATTGCCATAAGTTCAAACTGCAATTTCTTTAAAGAACAAAGTTTTAGAAAAGAGTTCAATTAGATAATATTATTATGTAGGAGTCAAATTGAAGAAGGCAGTTTAATAATAACTTGTGTTTTTAATAAAGAATGGATTTTGAGGACATTTATATTTAGGAAGCTTAAGGGGTCTCCACGGAATTATCTTTTAAGTGACCACGGTACATGGTCAATATATTCAGAGATCATGTCATGAAACCTGGCTACAATTTCTATAAACCATATTATTAAAATAATGAAAGGATAAAGATGGTTGGTTATACGCGTGAGCTTGAAAGCATGTATCCTACGTGTTCTTACACCACATCATGTAATATTTTCTGCCAGTTCATCACAGAGTTTAAAGGTCAAGGTCATGAAACTGGAGTGGGTGAGTATTGTTTAACGCCGCTTTTAGCAATGTTCCAGCAATATCACGGCGGGGGACCCCAGAAATGGGCTTGCGACTGAACGCTTAAACCACCTGGCTACCCGAACGCCCCTGTATTAAACTAAAAGTGCTAATAACTTTGTTATTGAGGTAAGAAGTTGCATTTGGTTTGTTGGTTTGTTGTTTAACGCCGCACTCAGCAATATTCCAGCTATATGACGGTGGTCTGTAAATAATCGAGTCTGGACCAGACGATTCAGTGATTGATATCATTAGCATCGATCCACGCAATTGGGAGTGATGACATGCATCAACCAAGTCAGCGAGCCTGACCACCCGATCCCGTTAGTCGCCTTTTACGATAAGCATAGTCGCCTTTTACGGCAAGCTTTGGTTGCTGAAGACCTATTCTACCCTGGATCTTCACGGATCGAGTGGCATTTGACTTTCCCTTATAAAGTGATACAAATGTTGTCCGAAATCCGCTTGTAATGTCATTTACCCGTTAATTTTTTTTTATGTTGCTCTTGAGATCGGATCTTCAATATGTTACTGCTTTGTACGGTGGCCCATAAGGGACATGGAGTATGTTTTTCAATATTTTGATATTTCACTTACTGTTATCGTACCCTTTTGTAAATTAACACTATTTTTCATACAAATATGTGATAGATCATGTATAAAGTAGATATTGAATCGCTGAAAAGTGAAGCGAAAATTTCAAAAACTAAAATGAAAATGTCAAAAACAAAACCGAAAAGGTTAAAAACTAAAATGAAAATGTCAAAAACAAAAACGAAAAGGTCAAAAACAAAAGCGAAAATGCCAAAAACTAAAATGAAAATACAGAAAATTATTTCCATCGCGGTAATAGTTTTCCTTGCTATATTATCATGATAGCCGCCTGTGCGTGACATCAAATTTGAAGGGAAAAATCCGAAATCGTAAAGGATTCCACGAACGATGATTGTTTTAATTATTTCTGAAAACGACGGCAACGGCAAGCGATATAACACATTGATGTGCCATAATAATAACAACACAGTATTGGGATTGATCTGTCATTGCAAGAAGGACAATGTAAAATACCAAGGATGTTTCTAACACGTCTACCCCTAACCTCCCAAATCCTCAGGACGGATGAAACTAGGTACACGGCGACTGTCTGAATGCAGGTTCTGTTTGATTTTGTACCCAAAAACTGTAACCAAAATACTTGTACCCAAGAAAACTATACAAAATATATACGATTATATCTATTTTTTCATGTTTATTGCAAACAATGAGCAGAACATTATGATAAAACATTTCATCAAGTTCATAATATAACTAACTGTACGTGGTCCTTGAGTGAAGTCAGTCCACATTGGCACAACTCAAATTGATTGTTTGATTTTGATAGGAAACTGAAATCTGAAAAAGAGGCCTGATAAATTGGTAAACCCTTTGTTAATTGTAGTGTTTTGATAGGAAAATGATGATAAATTAACTGTTTGACACGAAAGTAATGTGTATCTTTGATACTAATACAAAACATTTCTGGGTTCAAAAGCACAAACCGTTTTGGATACACACTCACAAGGAACTTTAGGTACAAAAATCACATTTCAACTGGATTTCGTTGGAAAATGGGATAAAAATATTTCGCGTCAGTAGAATTCCATATCACATTTCAAAATGACTATTTGTATAGGTAACCAAATGCAGGTAAACGGCTCATGCTTGGTCCTAAAAGTAAAAAAGAAATCTGAAAAATACGGACACCTCAGAAATGAGGGCTTTAAAAGTTATAATTCTATCTAACTTGAGTCTTTGTACATCACATTGACTGATAGACAAAAAACAATTTCCCGCACTTCACCATGCATGGTTCGTGTTCCTTTAGGGATATCCATGGGCGTCACTGTCACACACCTGAGCATACTGCAACAAACCTGGAAAGTCCTGCCAGACTAATAACTCATTATTTCATTTGTGAGAAACCAGTAACAAATACACAAGGTAGGATATTATCCATGTACTTTTCTCCAATAGAACGGAAATGCAAGAATTGTCAATGTCCATGTATTTGCTTTCCTCCTTTCTCAAACGATAACACTCTCTAATAAACATATGGCTAACTCACCAGCTTAAGTGCCACCCTGGTGCTTGAGATTAAACAAACACAAATATCATTACAAGAAACTGTTACAAGAAATTAATGTATCATTTTCATATTACAATATTATTTTAGAATTGTTTTGTTAGGAAACAAATAACTAAATACACAAGATAAGTGTCCACATGAGTTGTGTATGTATATGTTAAGGATCTTATCTACTTATTTATTATTTTTGGAATGCTAAAATTAAATAATGAAATCAAATAGTTACTAATTCAAATAATTGATGTTCAGTTTGAGATCAGTTTGATCAGTTACACTATGCTGATGCATTGACCAATATTTAGCGTCCATACACACATTCATACTTGATAAAAAAATATAACTAACAATTTTAAAAACTGCGAACAGGTGTACATAATTAAACATTTACAAATCTATCACCAATACGCAACCATTGCAGTCTTTATATTTATGGAATACATTTTCAAATGCTCCGGGGAATCATGTTAGAATCTATAAATATATTGTAAAAAGAAAAATCCTTTAACTATCCAGCATTTAATGTGAAACTAACACTGATATTTGTAGTATTTAATGATATATACATCACGAAATTGCGTATATCTTATGATATTCCGCAAAGCATGAATGTTATTTTGTCACACCCATTTACCCGCACCTGTTGTGGAGGGGGATCATTGCCGATCGACGATATCTACAGACGTATTGCGTGGGACACAATCAATATAGTGAAAACAAAATCATCAGCGTGTACATTGCAGATACATGAATCAGATCCCTTCATATCAACGTAACATCGAATGGTGATCATTATATATGAACAGAAGTTCGAATGAAAGATACCAAGTAACTTGCATGTGGCATATTGATTCATCGGCTACGGTTTCCGGTGTCACGAAATATATTCGCCCCCAGAATAAAATCTCCCTCCGGCGAATTTATACCGGTACAGTTCCACCCCTCTCGAAATAAACTCTCCCCCACCCTACGAAATAAAATCTCCCCCCAGAATATTTCCTCCTCCGGTCGTTTTTATAAATACTTGCCATGCAGTTAAATAGTTGAGGGCATTGCCTAAAAGTCGGGCCGGGCCGGGCCAAGACGGGCCAAAGTGTTATTGGCTAATTACTTCATTATCGGCGATCATACCTACATATTATTGATGCAACCTACACACATGTCATTACTGAACAATCACCAACCAAAAACGTGCACCATTAATAAGTACTTCGGAGTAAATCGCTTGAAAACCAGAAAGTGGAGCTGTGTGTAAGCGTCGCTGATCTAGGTAACATGTAAAAGATCAATCGTTAAACGAAATAAGATTTGAAACGTATTAAATACTTCAAGCTATCGTGATACAAATTTCCATCTGTCGGCGTAGCGTTTATATTTATAGAAACGTACTATATCTAAGTAAATACCACTTTATAATGTCACTGTTCATCGTATTTAAAGCAGACACGTTGGTTAAAGTAGACCTCTTCTCCCCATACTCTCAACAGTCTCACAAGTGTTCGGTCCGACTTGGCCCGGGCTGTCAAAATCAACTTAAACCTCACAGATATAACATGAAATGGATCCACACCTATAGATTAGTATTTTATTTACCTAAATACATCTTTATAGTGTCTCAGTTCGCGGTATTTAAAGGAAACAAGGTGCTCAAAGTGAAGCATTTTTCCCTCTACATTCTCAACATACTCTCTATCAGAAGTGTTTGGCCTGTGTTGGGTCCGACTTGGCCCGGGCTGTCAAAATCCACTTTAAACACACAGATGTATCATCAACCACGCCGTTCAAGATAATCGAGCACTGTTCGTTGTTGTTTTTTACAAGTACACTTTGCTTTGACGATGCCAGTTGATGTTGTTCAATACAGGCTGGCGGTGGGTGTTTTTGAAACTATTCTACATGCTAATCATTTCGGGAAGATGATGCACATTTCTCTATATTTTGGGTTACTTTGCTTATATAAGTTCCGATTATCATTCTTAGTTTCACTTTTTCTATTCTGCTGCGGTGATATACATCCGAATCCAGGACCTTTGCATAGTCCAGATTTAAAGATTATATATCTAAACGTACGCAGTCTTAAAGACAAAGTAGATTTAATCAGTGCTGAATTAGATAGTTATGATGTTGTATGTTTAACAGAAACCTGGTT